TCACACTGCTTGCCAGGCTCCTTGGAGCATCCATCACCTCCCTCTGCCTTGGTAAGGATTCCACAGCACAGGGCTCAGATGCTTCCTAACCATGAAGATCACAGGAAGAGCAAGCTGTTGGCTGAACAAGCTGTTCAAAGAAAGAGATAATGGGCAACAGACCAGAGTGCTGGAACCTAAACCATTCCATGTTTTGTCCTCCCATGATTATAGATAATGGATCACATTCATCCTTACCCTCTTTCTAACAGTGACCAGCATGACCCAGAAGGTAGCCCAAACTCAGTCTACAGTTCCAGTGCTGGAGATGAAGGCTGCAACCACGAATTGTGTGTATGAAACCAGTGATCATAATTATTCCTTATTCTGGTATGAGCAATCACCACATGGGGAAATGATTTTCCTTGTGTGTCAGAACTCTTATAGTGAGTACAATGCAACAGAAGGCCTTTACTCTGTGAGCTTCCAGAAGGCAGCCAAGTCTATCAAGCTCAGTATCACAGCCCCCCAGATCACTGACTCAGCTGTGTTTTTCTGTGCTCTGAGAGAGGACACAGTGAGAAGGGACCTGCAGGGGACCTAAGAAAACCTCAGCAGAAGACAGGGCCCTGGGGAAACACTTCATCACAAAGAGGGAAGAGCATACGTATCACAATTCTATTCTGACCCATAAATTTGCAAGAGTTAAACGGATAAAGTTCATATATTTAAGATAAATAATTTTCATTGAATAATTATTTTTCTTTCAAGTGACTTTAACGTTTTTACATTGTACCGCGGAGTGTGTGTAAGACAATACCACAGTTGTCTGGAGTTACAAAGACCTTGTGCTTTGAAAATGCATGTGCATGCATAGAAATACCTATTTTCTTTCTCTTATGATACAATTCTGATGGTTATCCTTAATTTCATTAATTTGCTTTGCTTAAGAAATACACAGATAGTAGTATAGCACACTTCTGAATTTGTACCAATGTGTCACAGAAGTATAGACTCGGGTGTTACATATGTTTCCTATCCTATCTGGCACTACTCTGTGTTCCTTCTGAGCCCCCATGAACCGAGAAGCTTTACTGAACATCTTTTCATCCTTCATGCTTCTGCTTTGGGGTATGCTGATCACAGAGTGAAACCCCTAAAGCCATGAGTCAAATTAACCCTTTCCACATGTAAACATTGGGTGTCAGGGACTTCTCAGTGATAGGAAAGGTAATATGGAATTTTGGAAGTGGAAACTCTGCTGTGACTCTCTCTCTGTCTCTTTCTGACCATATGATTTAGAACATTGGGAAATGGTCCACAAAGAAGGCTGGAAAAGTTGGAAATGCAGGCTACAGAAAATAAAAATGCTGTAAGCAGAGCCTAATGAGCAATTTCAGTTGGTTCTCTGGGTATAGTAATGTTGATAGTATAGGACAGACAGTATAGGCTGGTTCTGGAGGTTTCAGGTGGGAACAAGGGCTACACTGGCAACTAGGCTAGAGACCATGTGTGTTACACCCTTGCAAAAGAAAATCTACATTTCTCATGTTCTAAGAGACATGGAGGAGCTTTGTGGGATGCTGAAACAGAGAACTGAAATAAAGAGACATGCAGGAGCTTTGTGGAATGCTGAAATAAAGAGCAGAGGACTAATTGAGCTCATAGAAGAAACTCAAAACAACCCAATATTAAGACAGTGGCATGGGTACTGCTCTCTTCTTTTAGCTAAGTTTATAATGACAATCCAGTGCAAAAGGCAGACCAAAAATTTTTAAATGCTTAAATTCCAACCCAAAAGGAATCATGTACAGTGCAGAAGCCAAAGGAGTTGTGGCTGCTGAATGGATTAGTACCTTTAAAGCAAACCAAGTACTTTGTATAGGTATAAGAAGGAGGATGACTGAAGAGCATCTCAGGGATTCTCAAGACTCCATCAAAGGCTGCACAGTGAAAATGTATAAATCTTTCACTTGAAAGAAGTCCTCCTGGGCCCCCTTCTTAGGACACAACACCTCAGAAAGTTGTTCTCTAGTGTTAATTTGACCACGCTCAGTCATCCAGACACTCAGAGTTTGCAATCATGGTCCAAGGGGGCCTGGCTACATTTCCAGCCTGCAGCATCACATATTCATGTGACACTAGTTTCACCAGCATGCACAATGCAAGAGACATAAGGTGGAGAAAATTTCTACTCAGTTTCAACTAAAGGTCTTGGAAATCAGGCAAGGAGCTGCTGAGAGGGCAGTGCGGGAAGCTGTAGAAATGAAATGAAAGGTACAGAGGAGACCCTGGGAGTCAGAAATGCCAGGAATGCAGAACATATAAGTAAGCTATAGGTTATGAGTGAACCTGGCTCAAGAATGATGTCACCTGTGCTGTAGAGTAAGGTCATGGGCACAGCCATGTGGTCCAGATGCTGGATATGGAGCTACAGGATGCAATTTGCTTTGCAGAACTTCAGAGTTGTTTTGGTCCATTTATTTTTGATCTTCCTCATTCCCCCATTTTGGAATGAAAATCTTCCCTCTTGCCATTGTGGTTTTAAATTAGGTTCATTCTTTTTCCTTATCACAGAGGTTCATAGGTAAGAATATCAGAAGACAAAAATTTTGACTTTTAAAAAACATGGAAACTGTTGGAACTTTGGGAAATGATTGTTGTGTTTTCTAATTATGTGCTGTGCCCATATTATTAGCTGGAATTGTGGGCTTACTATTGTCTTTTATTTAGATATTATCTATTGGTTTAGGATGCCTTTAGCTGCCAAGCTTGCAATAGCTGGATACTGAGGGTTAACCTTAATCATATTACAGAAACACCCAAGGGATTAGTGAGGCACATTTCCGGGTGTCTTGGACTGGGTCATGGACCTTTACCTGTGGATGCTGTAGCTGATCCCTGACTCCTTCCACTCTGGCACTTTCACCTCATGCTGATTCCCTTTCAGGAGAAAAAATTTGTTTCATTTAAAGCAATGGCATGACAAAAGTAAACCAAGAATGTTTTGGGGATCATACTAACTGAGTAATGTTGTCTGGCACTGAGCTAAAGAAATAAGACTGCAGTGAGCCACATGTGATACCTACCTCCTAGGGGAAGTCTTGCATGGGGCTTGGCATCTCAACACTGTTTGCATAACGTCACTAAAACAGTATCTGTTTATTTCACAATAATGGTCTTACAGTTGTATATGCACGTTTTTGAGGGTCTGCACAATGTGTGATAACAGCACTGTTCTGATCCTTGATGTAACTTCTGTCTATAGAAATAGATAGAAAAAGACTCTCTGGAGTGCTTTGGGAATGTTTTGTGAGACTATGCAGAGACTTTGAGACCCATGAGTCTGAGAGCTGACAGTTCACAGAATGCACGTGGAACATCACACTGTGACTTAAATGGTATTGCACACTGCACACACAGTGAAGGGAGTATATTTGTTGTCCCTCCATCCTTGTGCTATTATTGTAATGTGTTTTAATGCTGCATATGTTACAAAATCTAATAGCGCACTTTTATAGCTTTTTCTTTAACCAATTTTAATATTGTCCCTCTTATCCCCTAGCGTTGTTCTGATACACACTGTTCCCAGTGAGACGTCAGCTTCACTCTTAGTTCTGAGTCTCTGTGTGTAACTGCTCTGTCCAGTTCTCATTCTCCACACCAGTTGCTGCTGAGTTTTCCAAAAACTGTTTGCTGCTATGGTTTGAACAGCTCTGTCCCCACTAAAACTTACACTAAGTCTGGCTTCTCAGTGTGGCAGTGATGGGGAATGGTGCCTCGTAGACACACGAAGATCACTGTGGCACTGCACATGGGCTTGATTAATATTCTACCTAGGAAATTGGGTTCCTTCCTTCTGTACTGGGTTAGACTATACCCAGTCTCTTTACCATGAGTTTGGTTTCATGGAACTGGAATAAATAATTATGAGTGGGCTCATATAAAGAAAATTTGGCTATATCAAAGTGTTCACTCACTTCTTCATTTGACAAACTCTGCTTTGTATAAAACTGTCCTTGTGAGGTGTGGTGCTGATTGGGACTAGGGCATAAAAAGGGACAGTTCAGGATATAGACTGGAGGGAAGGAGAAAGAATTATCTATTCTGATGGATCCTTTTTACCCACAGGAACCTCAACAGCATGTACAAGGAAAAAGCCTCACACGGGGTACACAGAAGATGTGCAAAAATATAATTGGGGAATTAGAGAACTCAGCATGGAGAAAATGTTGTAAATAATTATTGACTACTATCCTAATTATAGCTGTAATTCTATAGACAAATGTTTAGTGCTTTCTTCAAAAGTGCTATTTCATGCTATTTATTTATCTTCTTCCTCTCAAATGATTTCATAAGACTCCACTGTCAAATATTTCTCTCTCCAAGGTTCCTGTTATGTGCTATAAACTTCACTTGAAACATTAAATGAAAAAATTCCTGAAATGAAGAATTCATGCTTCACATTTATTCCATGTCACCCTGAGCATTTTGATGAAATCTTCCAGGCCCACAACACATCCTGGGAGGATCAATGCTTTGTCCATCATCTCCGTGGTGCACAGCTACTTCCTTCCCAGCCTGTAGTGTTTGTTTTTGTTCATAATCAGCTAGTGCTAGTTTTGAAGCCTCACCTCAATCTGGACAAGGTACAACAACTGTACACCAGTGTTTAGCTGAAGTCTTCAAGGAAGACCTGAACTTTCAGCTTGTTCCAGTTGACGGCAATGTGTTACACCAGAAAGCACTGTGCCTACCTCACAAGCAGATGCTATCATAGGACTATATGGATAGGAGACGACACAGGGTGTAGGGGTAAGTGATCTCCATGGTTTCAGGCATTTAGAGAAGTACTAGGAAGCATTTTCTGTGAATTTGCACGACTGATATTAAGTAAAGGTGACAAGGCTTGGAGCAACTCAAGGAAACCACCAGTGGGTGCTGCTTTCTCATACATAGCTCACATGAGCAGCTGGCTGGTGACTCTGTAGTGTTATCTTTGTAACCACAAGTCAGACTACCAGAAGAGGCACTTGACTCCTTTTTCTAGAAGATCCTGTTGGGGCCAAGCTCTGTAAGATTTTGTGTAATGCAAGTAGTGAAGGCTCTTTGATAACAACATGCTGTCTGTCACCTGCTCAGTACTTCTGATTCTCTTAATGTTCAGTAAGTAACATTTTATTGTAATCACTGATGTTTTTATTTGCCTTAAATTATGATCATCTTTGCTCTTCTTCCATATTTAAACAAATGTTGTCCTTGTCCTCTTGCTCCTCTTCCTTTTCCCCTTCCTCCTGCTCCTCCTCTCTCTTTTCTCTTATCAGGGAAAAACCATGGAGACTCAGTGACCCAGACAGAAGGCCCGGTTACTCTCACAGAGTTAGAAACTCTGATCTTGAACTGCACTTATCAGACGACTTATTCAGGTCCTGTCCTTTTCTGGTATGTCAAGTATATGGACAAAGCTCCTCAGCTCCTCCTGAGAAGTGCAACAGAAACCAAGACTGAGAACCAAGGTTTTCAGGCTACTCTCATCAAGAGCCGCAGCTCCTTCCATCTGCAGAAACCCTCACTTGAGCTTTCAGACTCTGCTGTGTACTACTGTGCTCTGGGGACACAGTGAGGCAAGCTACAGGGGGAGCCAAGCACAAATCCAGAGGGTGCAGGAGGCTGAGGACAGAGCCCTGACCAGAGACTGCTGTGTTCTCTACCTAGGAACACTCAGTTTCCCCAGTAACCTAAGCCAGTCTCTGGTGAGTTTCTACAAAAGTTGGGAGTCCTGAGCTACTTTAAGGTATTATGGGGTGGATGATAGATTAAAGAGATCCCAGGGTTTGCTCTCCAAAAGTTTTACCTCTCAGCTGCAAAGTCTTCTCTCTCTTTCAGACTGGAAAATTTTGCAGAACAAGTATTTCCAGGAAAACCATGGCACAGGGTTAATTTCTGCCAAGATGACTTGTATGTTTTGTGATATGAAATTTTGAGGGATTGTGTTTTCCATGCAAGTATTTATGTACCATAAAAGGGACACAAAACCTGCCTTAATTATCTCACTTTAGTCTCTACAGCTAAGTTGGTCTCTGCTTCTCCTTAGTCTCTGCTGGAAATGTTCAGGTCAACGCCCCACCAACCTTCAGCTTGATGAAGCTGCTCAGGAGGCACAGCTGTGGGGGTCCCTCAGTCTAGGATGCTGAAGGGTAGCTCCATCATAGGCCCTCACTACAGAGATGGTGAAAGTCAGGGCAGTTAGGAAAGACTGTGTCAAGAAGTCCTCTTTCTTCTTGTCCAGGTTCCTCTGTCATTGCCCTCACCTTTAAATGACAAGCATCTGAGATTCAGTGTGAGGTTTTCTGAGAATTCACCTGAAACAGAAGAAAGAAGACCCCTTTTAAACATCTCAACTCTCCTAATAAAATGGCATTTAAACTCAAATACTTAATTGTCTTGTATATTTCTGTATAAAGCAAGAGAGATCTGAATAAAAAGGAAGATGCATCTCATAAGACACACTCATTTTGGTCTGTGTTTACAGAAAACAGAAAAGATACACACTGTATTTTACAGACCAGAGAGTATTATGGAAAAATCTGATCCTCTATTTCAGAGCAGTAGCTCAAATTCTGTGAAACAGATTACTCAGACCCTTCTGCTTGCCAGCATTTTACTTGATTTAGCCTTTGCATAGATACTGTCAAGAGATCTCTCAGTGGGAGAGAGAGGTTGAATCTTTCTTTCCTCCTCATCTGCTGAAACACAGTGATTTAGTCCACATTCCTTTGTAACTTCAGATCTATCGATAAATCTCTCTTCCACAGTGTTGCTTCCCATGAGTTTGTCTTTACACTTCGCTCCTTCAGATTGCGGGTTCTCATGACTCTCCAGTGTCACCAGGCAGTGCTGGAAGCATCCTTTTTTGGTTCCCTAACCCCATTCACACCCTTCTTGCTATGATATGCTCTGAATTATCTTCATTTTCCTGGGAGTGCTTTCTGTTTTCCTAACTGCAGCCTGAATGGTGCACCTGAGAGTGACTTTTTGCTTGGTCACCTGTGGTCTCTCAGCGTTCCTCGATTAGTGTCCTTGACCTTAGATCCTTCCATTTAACATTATAGGGAATCTTTAACTTCACTTGGTCTCCGTGTATGCTATGATCCTGACTCTTACTCCACTCAGCCTCTGACCCTGGCCTGTTTTATGCTGTGACCAGGATCCTTAATGCTGTGGAGCTGTGTGAGCTTTGTCCATTCTGTGTCTACTTTATGTACTTTCTTAGATTACAAGTGCATTCTTCAGGGATGTGATTCTAGAGGAGTGTGCCTTTAATTAGTAGTTCCTCTGACAGCAGCAACATTTCTGAATTTTTCTCTAACAGTTATAGAAACCTTTTTTAATGTTATTAGCTTGTTACTTTCCAATATGTACACAAAGACATTTACTATATTTACATAGTGTGTATATAGTATATGCATGCTATCATATTATGGAATAATAGATGTTAAAATACATTAGACCACATTAGAGTATGTACAATATATACACTCATATTCTGATAATATAGATATATATAGAGTATATAGGTGGAAGTATAATTTGAATTAAAACAATTGTCAAATTAAATTCAACAGTAAACACACAGTAATTAATTTTAAATATTATTATCCCCATCTATAATCCAAACAAATTTAAGAAATTCTGTAGACAGACACCTTAACACCTCTGAAAATATTACAACACAATGAGATAGTTGACTCTCTGCTAGGCGTCTCTTGTAAAAAAGTATCCTAATGTTGTGAATCGCACACCAAGTCTTAGCTAAAGTGAGTCCACCTTGCAGTGAGTCAGTCTTTAGCTGCCCTGTGGGTCCACCGCTGAAGCGCTGAGGCCCTGTGTCACACTGCAGCACAAGGTCATGCACTGTCAGGCTAAAGCATGCTTGCGGAGAGTGGCAGAGTTTCTTTATTAGGATTGGATGTGGGCAGAATGCAAAAATTTCCAAGTTCCCTTCCTCTTTTTGATCTTGCTTTTCTGTTCTAAATTGTGCCTACAATCCTAGTAGACTAGCACAATGTTTGGCAACACTGATGGCGCTGGAGCCTGTCAATCATCTTTTGTGCTGGAAGGAAGCCTTAGTAAACACACTCACTCACTAAGCTGGACTTGTCTAAGCAGTCATATGGACTGTGGGCTTTTTCTCAGCCCAGAGGCTTATATTTCTTTTATGTCTCTCCAGGACACCCATACAACACAAATTAGTCAGTCTTTTGAAAAAAAAAAAAAATGGAGGTGGGAGATCAGTGAATTAGTTCATAAAATTTTTGAGGCTGAGAAATCACACAATTTCTCTTCTGCAACTGGAGGCCCAAGAAAATCAGTTACGTGTGTTCTGTGCAAAGATGTAAGAACCACGAGGGATAGTGTCCAAGTCCATGGAAGACAGATGTCCCAGCTTAGGCAGGGAGAGTAGAACAATTGTGCCTCTAACTTCTGTTCTCCTCAATCTCCATGGATTGTAAGACACCCACCACACTGGGGAAGATGCATTGCCTTTACTAAGCTTACGGATTCACACACTAATCTCTCCCAGAAACACCCTCACAGCAGCCAGAAATAATGGTTCAACAGCTCCCTGGGTGTCTCTTAACTTAGTCAACTTGATGCATACAGTTGAACTTAATGGTCTGTTTGGAAAAACTCAACCCAAACATCTCCAGCAAGAAAATGTTATTATTTTACCACCTATAGTTTTTATCTTATACAAAAAATATGAAATATATTATGGAATAATACAAACCAAAATTGGTTGATTAAACTCTTTAGGCACTAGTGTATACCCAGCAAAAAGTCCTGACACTGTTACTTTAGTTCCATTTTTGTAAGTTTTACTAAAATTTACAAAGAAAACAGAATTAGAATGTTGTGTGTGGCTAAAAACACATGTCTTCAGGGTTGCACAGGTGGGACACTAAGACCTTGAGAAAGATTTGCTGAGCAGAACAAAAACTCCTTAAAGGCTATAAGAGGACAGGAGTTCGTCCAGTAAAGCAGTGGGTGTGATTCTAGAAAGCGAAGCAATCTCTCTAACAACCAAATGGCCAGCAGCAAGCTGTAAGTGGAAGAAGAAGGTATCCCCAGTTAGGGCGGAGGCAGCTGTGGTTGTCAGATGTGAATAGATCCTCAGAACTTTCCACATAGTGCCCCACCAAGATTCATTGACAAAAACTATCTTCTTCCAGGCTCAAATCTTATATTTACAAATTTTCATTATTCCATAAGAGTGTATATTTTGCATATTCTAAAAAAGGAATTCAGTAAGTTTACAGTGTGTAATATTTACATTCAGATTATCTCATAGTCTCTTAATGACTTTCACTTAAATTAGCTCCCAGATCTGGAAAGCACTTAGAGTCAAACATACCTGTAGTACCCCCTTCAGTACCAATGTCACATTTTCTTTGCCCATTCCTCTGCTGATGGACATATAGTTTTCTTCAAAGATTTATCTGTTATGAATTGTGCTGCTATAGAAATAGGTAAGCATTTATTACTGTAGTGTGATGTCTTTAGCTCTACAGCAGAGTACTACTGTGTTATAAAGAAGAATGCACTTGAGTCCGCTGCAGGAAAATCTATGCACTTAAAACCACAATTTCAAGTAAACAAATCAGATACAGAAGCTTAAATACTGCATGGTTTCTCTTATATGAAAAATTTAAAATGTAAATAAAGAGCAAAATGAAAGGTAGATAACAGGAAGTAGGAAAACAGATTTTTTTAAATGGGATAGGGATCAAGAGATGGAAGTAGAGAGGAGAAAGTGGAAGGAAAGAGGACAAAAACATAATTGAAATGTGTTATGCACATGGACCAACTCCCCACAGTGAACGGAATTATTATGTAATGCAAACATGGACTAATAAAACACACACACACACACACACACACACACACCAGATTTCTGGGATTAAATATAAGGATATTATTTCTCTGATGCTCTCCCAGGCTTGATTAGAACATTGAGACTTTTCTCTTTGGAGAAGCACCTCCCCATCCTCCTCACAATTCCAGAATTGTCAGAAGATGTTTTTCTGCTAATGTAATCATAAACTTTCTCTCCTCTCTCTCTCCATACAGGGCTCCACCCACATTCAAAGGTAAGGGGCTTCCTGCAGGGAGGCTGTGGAGGACTCAGTCTGGGCTGGGTAGGCTCATCAGTGAAGCTGATTGGCTCTGGTACAAAGCAGCTGCAAAAGCAAGTCTGACTCCACTCTGCAGATATGAAATCTGTCTCTCTGCCACAATCAGGAAAAACATCATGAAGAAGCTCTCAAGTTCTCTGCTCTGGCTTTTATGCTTCCACATTTGTTGTAAGTTTAGTTGTCTCAAATTCAAGAAAACTGAAAGCATTTTGCAATTGCAGCATCTGAAAAGAAGGGGAAATGAATGCACAAATCTTGCGGGCTTTCTTCCCACTCATGATCCATGGGGGCATTTTTAGGGCTGTGTAGACGTTGTAGTAACATCACTGGTGACTGTGTCTCCATTCTTACTCAGGTGTGAGAGGGATGCAGGTGGAGCAGAGTCCTCCAGCCCAGATTCTCCAGGAAGGAGCCAACTGTACACTATGGTGCAACTTTTCTGCCACTCCTCAAAATGTGCAGTGGTTTCGCCAAGATCCTGGGGGCCACCTGGTCAACCTGTTCTACATTCCTTCAGGGACAAAGCAGAATGGAAGACTAACGGCCACGACAGTCCCTAAAGAACGCCACAGCTCACTGTTCATCTCCTCTTCCCGGCTCACAGACTCAGCTTCTTATTTCTGTGCTGCAGCCCACAGTGCTCTCCAGGCGCCTGCAGCTGGTGCACAAACCCTCAGCTGAGCTCAGCCCCACACCAGCCACAGGCACATCATGGGCCCACTGCAGCAGCGTCTTCACAGCTCAGTGTTTCTGACCTACATTGGTAGAGTCTGAAACACACACACTTTTAAGCTCATAGACTTAGTCTATGATTTTTTTTCTTAGTTTCTCAAATTATAAATCTTGATTTGCAGAAATGTAATTTAGAAGATTAGAGTTTCTAATAAGAGCACCGAATCAAAATGTGCTGGCTTTCCAAAAAGCAAAAATTAAAACTAATAAAAAATACAATATGTTTGGATGAAGAAGTTATTGGCGATGATGCAGGTTAGCTGGGTATCTCAAGTGCATTTAAGTCTGCACCACGGAAGCAGAGAGAAGAAAAAGTTCACTGGATGTTCATATATGAGGAATAGATGTGGGAGAAAATGCTAATGTCTGTGTTCCGTTCCACTAAGTTCTATTCACAGTCTGGAGACTGGCTTCGGGGGAGAGGACCTGACATGCCCAGCAGAGGACGCGTGAAGGCTGCAGGACACCATATTGGGTGATGTCTACAAAAGTGACTTGCTTAACAGCATTGCTCAAGTTCTCTGTTTCCTTGCAGTCCTTCTGTCCTTTTCCTATTGTTGACAGTGAAA